TGCTTCAAAGTCTAGCTTGCATCCGTCGCCTGACTCGATCTCCCATAATTGAGACCTAACCAAATGATTCAAATTCTTTTTATGTCCAAAGTAGATAATATCATACTATTTTGTACAAATATGTGGAGAGTTTGTTGTAATAACGCCCAAAATAATAGAGAAGTCAAAAATGGCAAAAATGTAATTTTTCAATTTTAAATGAAACCGGTTGATTTTTAACTCGTTATTGAAAAGAAATCTCAAGTGGCCAGAGAAGTTTCCAACACAGATTTGTGCTTATCCAAATTTGAGTCCTTCAAACGCTAAAACTAAACTAATCAGGTAAGTGACTTTGCTACTGGCATGATTATATTTGATGTTGACACATGCCCTGTGGTTGTGTCATATTTATTGATATCTATGAATCTTTTATGGATCGATATGTTTATGATATGATATGATATATATATATATATATATATATATATATGTTATAATATGTGAATTGTATGATAATATTTATGGTACGATGTGTTCAATGATATGTTTAGGATAGGATACAAGAAGAATGCTCTAGACATAATGTAATGATAGGAGTATGATATGTTCATGAAACGTTAAGGTTAGGTTACGTATCGAACTGTTATGGATATGAGAGATTGATAAAAGAATATGGTTATTTTATGGGTAGAAAGGGATACGATTTTGATAGATTGATAGAATGATAGAGTTAGGATACGTTCCTGTAACGATATGACTAAGATACGTTCATGTAGCGATGTGACTGTGAGAGGTATAAGAATGTTAAAGCTATGATAAGTTAAGGAACAATATGACAACGAAGTGTTTAAGATATGATATGATTATGATACGACATGTGAATGATGGATATATATATATATATATATATATATATATATATATATATATATATATATATAGTGATATGAAATGAAAATTATATGAAATATATTATGGTACAACATATGTGATAAATTAACATGTTTATGATAAAAATGAACCCAAACCAACCCATAAAGATAATCCAACCCAACCCAACCCTTAGTTCAGGTTGAGTTGGTCTGGGTTATCGGGTTGCCGGGTTGAATGTACACCCCTAATTTTGATACTGACCTAAGTCTAACTTGATTTAGGACTCAGCGAACTTCCAAGAAATTTGGAGCTCCCAATTAGCCGAAAAGTAAGCTTCGAAGGGTACGCTTCATTCCTGTAAATAACCACACTGATTTAGGAAGTAATATTTGTAGGGTGCGCTTGGTTTTTCATGCATGCTAGAGTAAATTTCCCCTAGGTGGCTAGATCTAATGATCCTCTATACTTAGAGAGATGTTACCCTCCCCTTCTTACTTCGGTGTGGTACCGTTGAGCTAGGCGAGACGCCAGTTAGGGAGATGTTACTCTTCCCTTCCTACTTCGGTGTGGTACCGTTGAGCTAGGCGAGACGTCAGTTAGGAAGGTGTTACTCTTCCCTTCCTACTCCGGTGTGGTACTGTTGAGCTTTGTAAGATGCCTGTTAGGGAAGTGTTACTCAGTTGTAGATCGACTACTCTACATGGGGATCCATGTAATACCCGAAGAAAGAGAAAAAGAAATAGAAAAAGAAAAGGAAAAAAAATAGAAAGAGTCGAGAGAGGGGCAAATAGGTAAGTTTGCCCCTCCAACCACGGGTCCAAATGAAACCCTATCAAGAGTCCTGCAAAAGAGAAATAGTGAGAGAAAGGGGTTAGAGAGAACCTAGAGAGAGGACGAAGAATGAACCGCCAGAAGACTCACCGAAAACTACTGTCGGAGTCTATTCCGGTCAAGATCAAGATGCAAGGAGCCTTTCTTGGAAGGAAAAAGAGAATGTGGGTGGCCGGAGTCCCATTTTCCATCAAGAAATCAAAAGAACCCGCGAGGTAAGATCTTGAACGTTTTCTCAGATCTACGGTTTTCCTTTGTGAATCAAGATCTGAAATCTTGATATATTCGTCTAGGAACAACTCTCTATAGGATCTTTGAAGAAATTTGGCTAAAACCTCGATCCGAAGGCAGAAACCTGAGAATCGTCCAAGAATGGAGAGAGAAGAAATTCAGACAGCCACGTCTCAACGGTGGGTGGCGAAACACGACTAGGCAAGCAGGGGACACGTGCCGAGCGTCAGTCGGAGCTACGCAGCTCTGGTGAGAAGGCGACACGTGTCGCCTTTAAACCCAAACCAGCTACGGCCTATACGAGCAGACCGACTTGCTGACTCACCGACCCAAACCGAGGCCGCTGGACTATGACTACGCAGAGAGCGCGGGCGTGGTACTCGCGAGTAGACCTTCTCCCGACGCGTGAGGACGTGTGGCGGCGTGTGGGAGCACATGAGTAGTTTCGGCCCGTCCGACTTTTGGCTGCGTGATTTTCATCCCGATTTCGATTCTAATCATATTTTTATGTGACTTAGGACCTAATTGGGGAAAATCAGTATTCTTGGACACACTATTTGTGTAGGACCGCTAGCGAAAGGGCACGCATCAATAAGTAAGTCACCACCCGGTATTTAGGAAGAAATACTTGTCGGATTCGCTTAGATTGCATATATGCTAGTACCTTTGCCTTAGAGTTATCTCTCCATGAATGAGATTAGTCGGATTGATTGTTTTGAGTGTATTGGGTGAATTGCCCGAATGTTGCTTGTATGCTTTAAGCTTCCGCCGTACGTATGCATGCGTTTAATTTATGTTGGAATTGTGTATTCCGCGTTCTGGGTGCTTGATGGATGAGTTCTCCCCATTGAGCGCGAACTTCGTGTTCTGGGTGCTTGATGGAGGCCATCGACCCGTTGAGTCGGCATGACTAGTTTGCATGAATTATATATTATGATGTTAGAAGATGGTTGCATGCATACTCTATTATTTGCTAGGGCCCATTTCTATGATAAGCATAGGGAATTCCTGTTAGGAGCGATAAGTCGCTCCTCTAGCCAAACTTAACCTTCCCTTAGGAACTTAGCGGATTACCATGACAACAAGGTACCTCTGGAGTGTTCATAGATTTCTAGGGCGAGAACGGTATCTTTAGCTTCATGGGAAGACCAAGGGTTCCTAACTAGTCCTTACTACTCTTAGCCATTTCGCATGGGAAATGTGTCCCCATGTCATATAGCCCATTAGCTGCATGGGAACGGGTTGGGTCGCGCCCCCCATAGGGGAACTATATGGGCTTAGGGGTATTCAGCACACCCCTAAGCTAGATACCATGTAGTCCCAGATAGCCATGTAGATGTAGCGTCTCATAGAGAGATACCGACCATATCAGCTTGGCATAAGAAACCTCTAGGTGTCTAATGAAAGGACGATGAATCAGTGAAACCCAAGGGGCAAGCTCCAAGGGACTAAGATTAGAACCAGATGTCCTAGAACCGAATTAGGAGACCGTGGGAACCTGTTAAGTTAGAATGCGAAGAGAGCCTACAAGTAGGTGGCTTACTGAGTATAATTTTTATACTCATTCCTTTCTACCTTTTTTGCCAGGTGCCGGTCGAGGTGGAGGAGCGTTCGAGAGCTGTGCGGTCATAGAGGTCGTTCCGGAGCGTCAGTCACTTTTCGATCTTTTGGAGTCTTTTGCAAATTCCTTTTATAATTGTATTGTATTCCGTTTTTGTAAATTTAAATCCTCTCTTGAAATATTTGAAAATTACACTCCCCTTTCTTCTATTTTAATTTTATTGGATTTTCATCTTTTTATTTTATTTTATTTTTTTTCTTTTCTTTTTGTTTTTTTTTTATTTCGTCTTTTGGGTCATGGTCCGAGCTTCAAAGCCTCGAAAATCGGATCGTGACAATTCGTCTTATGGTAAGATGTTGATCACGGGGGTGGGTCAAAGTCCCTGCATGGTGAGTTCGTCCTGTGGAAGGACGTTGACCATGCAATGACTAATTCTAGCTGGGTTGTACGAGGGGTACATGTAGTTATGAAGGAGCACCTCATCCTCAAACGCTGAATACCGCTTCAAAGGTTAAGTCCTTCCACTCTGAACTGTGTACTGATAGTATTGAGACTCTAGGGTCTTAGAGCATAGTTGGTGGTTCCCTCCTAAACTTGGATGTAATTAAGAACCTACAAGTAGGGTTGTTGAGTAAGTTTTTATACTCACCCCATTTTCCCTTTTATTTTTCAGATACTGGTCGAGGTGGGGAGGTGTTAGAGAGCTGCACTGTTACATAGGGGTGTCATTCCGGAGCGTCAGTCTCTTGTCCGTCTTTTAGAATTTTTTGTATTTCATTTTATATTTGTAATTTCTTTTGTAATAATTTGAAACAAAACTTCTCTAACTTTTATTTTAATTAAATGATATTTTTTATCTTTTATTTACTCTTATTTTCTTTTCTTTTCTTTTTGTTTGTTTTCGATTTCGTCTATTTAATTACAATTCGATTTTTCGAAGCCTCAAAATTCGGGTCGTGACAGTACCACACTGGAGTAGGAAGGGAAGAGTAACACCTCCCTAACTGGCGTCTCGCCTAGCTTAACAGTACCACACCGGAGTAGGAAGAGAAGTGAAGTATACCTAAACGCTATACCAGCTACTGTCGGCTAAGAGGTCATCTCTCTACGCCTCAGGGTCCTAACGTGGTTCTCTATGTCTCAAGGGTAGTTAAGACTATTGAGTTAGGAACCTGACTTCCAAATTCACTCATTCAAGACTTTTAAGTCTATAACAATGCACGGTTAAAAGGGTCTCTCCATCTATGCGTCCCTCACGACACCACTTACCGTAACATTAGGAGGATCCCCTATCTAAACCCTTCTCAATCCCTGCAAGAGTACAACCTAGGCATAACACAACACTACAACTTATCATTCATATCATATGTTCACACAATCATTCAACAAGACTTTATGTATGATTAACAATGTATATAGTCATACAAGCTCAACGGGGCGATAACATCCATCAACACTCGGAGCGCAGATACACAATTTCCCTCGTCCGCCAACATATTATGAACAGATAAAAGCAGCAATAAGATAGTTCAGCAAGCATACAAACATCGAGTATGAAATCTCATTAGGGCAGCAAGTCCAACAGATATATATTTAATTTCCAAAGTACAGAGGATTATCAGATCTAGCCATCTAGGAGTAATTTGCTTTAGTATGCATGTAAAACCAAACACACCCTACAAGCATTACTTCCTAATTCTGTGCGGTTACTTACAAGTATGTCGCGTGCCTTCCCAAGCTTGATTTACAGTCGTACGGAGTCCAAAAATTACGAATTTTCTATGCAGTGACCTAGTTCACAGTAAAATAGGATTAGCATTGGAATCGAGACGAAAAATGGGTGAAAACAGGGCACTCACGCGCCTACACGCGCTTGCAGGGGAACTCCCATGCGCCGACACACTCCCCTATGCGTGGGCTTCACGCGCAGGACGTACGCGTGGGCAGAGGCATGCTTCGAGCCCCAGCAGACATAGACTTACCTCTCGAATTTTCTAGGTGTGACACGTGTCGTACAAGGGCTAGCGGTGGGTTTCGGATTGGATCGCGGGTCGTTGAGTTGCTTCACGGAGCACGGGTTGGGTTTCGATTTGGGTTTCAGGGTCAGCCGTCGGACGTGTGTCAGCGGAGGCGCCAGACGCGTCTCTCCACCAGTTGCTCGATGCGTGTCCTCCCTCTTCGTTAGCCGCGTGTCCGTCGCCGATTGCCTGAGTTCATCCAATTTTCAGATTCCAGTCAAATTCTATATCAACCTATTTATTTTGGATTTTTCTATCTTCCAATCCGTAACTCGAATTAAATCGATTCCTTCACAAGAATGTAAAATCTCAAGTCCACCTATCCAGATATATTTTTCTTGCATTTTTTTTTTATACTCACCGCTCTTAATAAATAAAGTCAAAAAAAAAAAATAATTTCTGACTGAAGTTGGACAATTCTCGATTTTGTTTTCCAATGCGATTCTTTGGCCGCGATTCCTCCCAAAACTTGCAAGACTCCTCACCTAAGGTATTGCAACTAGATTATTAAGATCTAAGTCATCTAACGCTCCCAAATCTATGGTGAAATCTCAAACAAAGGGGGCCGCGGACTTACCTCGCGTTCTTACTCGTTTCTTGCCAGAAACGAATGATCCAAGGCTCAGACCACTCCTCTTGATACTTTGAGTAGCTCTAGTAGAAGACGTAAGATTGAGTGTGCTTCAGTTCGGGTTTGGGCGTTTCTCCCTCCTTCCTCTTCTTAAAAACCCTAACTCCTCCTTTCTCTTTCTCTCTCTCTTTTTTTTTCTTTTTCTTTTCTTGGAGGTCTATCTAGACCCCCTCAAGTTGGTGTGTGGGGGAAAAAATTACCTTTTTGCCCCAGTTGACTTTGATCCAAATTTTGATTAAATTACTTTTTTTTTTAATAATTTTTTCTAAGATCCTTGATGCATCCCGGTGCATTTCTTTCTTCTATACCGATGTGAAAATCACGCTCTAAGACCTCTAATAAAATCTAGAAACTCATAATATGGTTAAGAAGGTGCTAGTCATAAGGATAGTGTGAATTGTACCTGTTGGGCTCGGGGCGTTACAGTTTAGATGAAGTATTTTTGTATTTAATGTTTATGATATATACAGTAGCGACCTTAAATTAAGTAGAAAATTTTGGGTCGTTACATGTTCCAACCAAGCCGATAGTAATGCCACTTACATGGTTGGCCTTAGCCAAAATTCTATCTAGCTCCAAATTTGTTTGCTTTCGTCATTCGAATTCGTTCTCACTTATGTCGAGGCTTCACTTATTTTGCATATACATTTAAATGCCCCATTAAAAATTGAATTCCATGTTTTCATTGTTTTTAAATCGTGTTTGGTAGTAAAACTTAGATTTAAAAAATATGTCAATATTAGTTATAATCTTATTTTTCTTGGGAACAATTTAAAAACAGTTTAACTCTTCTTAGATTTTTACTTTTCTTTCTATCCGTCTTTTTTTTTTCTTTTGCAATTTTGATGGATTCTTACTTTTTTTTTATAAAAAAAAACATGACAATATATCGTGAGGCCATTTGCTAGAACACTTAAATGGTTCTTGGTATTTCTAACTAAAATCTAAATAGTTGTAGACAAGGAAGATCTTATTAGATGATGAAAGTTCCACATCAGCTCATTTAGGAAATGATCATGGGTTTATAATCAAAGAATACTGTCTCCATTGGAATGAGGCCTTTCGAGGAAGCCCAAAGCAAAGTCATGACATCATGGGTTTATAATCAAAGAATACTATCTCCAGTGGAATGAGGTCTTTCGGAGAAGCCCAAAGCAAAGTCATGACATCATGGGTTTATAATCAAAGAATACTATCTCCATTAGAATGAGGCCTTTCGGGGAAGCTAAAAGCAAAGCCATGGCATCATGAGTTTATAATCAAAGAATACTATCTCCATTGGAATGAGACTTTTCGGAGAAGCCCAAAGCAAAGTCATGGCATCATGGGTTTATAATCAAAGAATACTATCTCCATTATAATGAGGCCTTTCGTGGAAGCCAGAATACTATCTCCATTAGAATGAGGCATTTCGTGGAAGCCCTATAATCAAAGAATACTATCTCCATTGGAATGAGACTTTTCGGAGAAGCCCAAAGCAAAGTCATGGCATCATGGGTTTATAATCAAAGAATACTATCTCCATTAGAATGAGGCCTTTCGTGGAAGCCAGAATACTATCTCCATTAGAATGAGCCCTTTCATAGAAGCCCTATAATCAAAGAATACTATCTCCATTGGAATGTGGCCTTTCGGGAAAGCCCAAAGCAAACCCATGACATCATGGGTTTATAATCAAATAATACTATCTCTATTAGAATGAGGCCTTTCGTGGAAGCCCAAAGCAAAGCCATGACATCATGGGTTTATAATCAAAGAATACTATCTCCATTGGAATGTGGCCTTTCAGGAAAGCCCAAAGCAAAGCCATGACATCATGAGTTTATAATCAAAGAATACTATCTCAATTGGAATGAGGCCTTTCGGGGAAGCCCAAAGCAAAGCCATGACATCATGAGTTTATAATCAAATAATACTCTGTTGTGAGAGGTTAATGGAGAGTGGAAAAATAGGTTATCATTTTCTTAGGCTGGTTACAATTTGAATGGCTTTATAATAAACTTGTAAATCCATAGTCTTGCTATAAAATATTTCAAACTTGATTCGGATGGCTTTATAATAAACTTGTAAATCTATAGTCTTGCTATAGAATATTTTAAACTTGTAAGATTCGGATTACCTTGTTGATCGAATATCTCAAGACAAGAACATTTGCTTGAGATTCGAATCACTTCAAAAGCAAGATCAATCATGTCTAGCTTGAATGATTCTTGTTGATCAAATATCTCAACGCAAGAACACTTGTTTGAGATTCGAATCATTACACAAGTAAGATCGATCATGTCTAGCCTAAATGATTCTACATACAACCTAATTGAATAGAATTGCAAATAAAATTAGTCATTGGCTAAAAGAAAGCAAAGATGCTTCTTTTACTATATTTTCCAAGTCTATCTTACAAATACAATATACATGACTTTATATTGTCTTAAAATTAAACTATTAAAGACATTCCAAGAGTTGTAACATTCATACGTTATGACCATAATTAACCATTTGACATGAATTGAAATATCTTTTGATAATTTCAACGGTATTTTCTTCACATCTTCATTAAAGTATATTGTAAGATTGGTGTCTCTTAGTTCATATCATATGCGATTATCAATTTTCTCTTCTGAGGTAAAAAATTATAAGTTTAATCTTTAAATTTATAATTTGATGTCGAGTAAATCACTAAATTTTTAAAACTATTTAATAAATATTTATACGTTCAATTTTGTGTTTGATAGAAATTTAAATTATAAAAGTTTGTAAAAAAATTCTCGAACTTTCACTTATGCCAAACACATTTTAAGATATTACGCCAAAAATTGAATTTTATGTCTAACAATTTTGTATAAAAAAATGGATATGTGAGTCTAAAAAGTAAATATCATAGCACTAAATTATTCAGAGTTTTTTTTAGATACTCCTAAACTTATTAGACATAAAATTAAAATTTGTATATATAAAAATAGTAATAAAAAAATGGTTAAATTAATAAAAATATCCATAAACGTCTCAAAAATACCGCTAAACTTTTAAAAATTTCAATAATACCCTTAATAAAAAATGTAAAAAATACCCTTATAACTTTAATTTTGAATGAAAACGGTTTATATTTGTTTCAAAAATACCATTGACTTTTTAATCGTGTTTATACCTTGAACTTTAAAAAGTTTCATTAATATCTTTCAATTTTTAAAAAAAATTCAAAAATACGTTTATTGTTAGTATTATATTAAAAAAAAAAACATTCATAAAATTTAAAAGTAGCATTAATACCCTTTACCTTTATAAAAAAAATTCATACTATCAATATATGGACAAAAATTGTCTATCCATACTTTATAAATTATCTGCAAACGTTTTAATGTTACTTTGGAAAGTTCATGAATATTTTTCAAACGTTGTATTAACTGTAAATGTTTTTTTTTTTTTTTGTTGTTAAGTTTGAAGGTATTTTTGAAACTTTTAAAAAAGAAAAAAAAAATTAAAGGTATTAATGAAACATTTCAAAACTCAAAGTGTATTTTTGAAATATTTTAAAAGTTAAAAGGGTATTTTTGGAATTCGAGAGTATTTTTTAAACAAAGTATTAAAGGTCTCATCCAAAACAAACTGTAAGGGTATTTTTTATTTTTTATTGTTTAAAAGTTTAATGGTATTTTTTAGACTTTTTTTTTTTTAAATAAACTTTTGAAAGTTTATGGAAATTTTTTTAGACAAACAACCAGATATTTTTGTTAATTTAGCTGTAAAATATCCCGTCTCAAAAATACCCTTCAACTTTTGAAAGTTTAATAGTATTTTTCAGGCTTTTTTTTTAAGTTGAAACCATTATTGAAACTTTTGAAAATTTATCAGAATTTTTTAGACAAACGGCAAAGTTCAATATTTTTATTAATTTAAAATTTCAAAATACGTTAAACCTACCCATCATTATTAGAAACTATAATATGGGTATATATATATATAAACAAAAAAAAAAATGATATCCACAAATAAATGAACCAAAATGATGATATGAATTATAGTTGACAAAATTCAATGATACAAATGTAGCATTCATAGAGAAAACTGAGGAACAGACAACTAATTAAAACAAATCACCAAATACAGAATGTTTTACATATACGAGAGGTATATGTCGAATAAGGTGAAGTTTATATCAAATCTAAATGAAAGAGTCTGACTTAAGTTATTGTTGCATAGAACGGTAAAAGATAGTGATTCGCATGAATCATTTGAATTTGGATACTCAGTTTGTCAAATGTCGTTGATCGTGTTGGGTGTGAGTGCTTGCATAGCTGTGGCTGCAACTGCATCATATGAAGCTGGAGCTTCATTGGTAAGCAATGGCGGCAAACCTGTGATTCAAATCATATTAGTGTTAACAAGCATTTAACCAACTATCCTATACTTTAAAAATGTTTAATACGTTGAATCACCGTACCATCAAGCCCAGCAAGCCCATATCCAAAGTCATCATCGTTGAAGTACATTTGTGAACTCTCGTACTCATAATTCAAATTAGTTTGCTCAAGAATGTCAAGACCTTCGTTGAAAGCTTCATCTCCCATCACATTATTTGCCAACAAATATGCCTATTTTCATATTAACATCAACTTCGTTTAAACTTTTTTTTTTTTTTTGAAGCATACAGAAATAAAAGTTTCGAGAGAGTGTGTAACCTCTGAGGATGGCTCGTTTATGGGTCTTTGACACTCCAAAGCGTTTTCAATCATCATCATCCATGTTTTCCTTGGAACTTTGTTACCCAGCAACTGCACAAAGTGTTATTTTGTTGGTTTCGACGCTCCATCAAACCACATCAAAATGAATAACCGAATAGAAAGAATAAGAAGAAAGTAAAATGTATATCTAATGGAGCACTAACAATCCTTTCCGTTGGCTTCAAACAAATCGAACTTAAAATGGATATTCATTCTGATTTTTTTGGGCTACCTTTTTAAGAGGGTCAGAACCTATAGTGTAGTAGGTTCGCAGAAAGTCGTCCACAGTATTGATGCCATGTAATGATAAGTTTTTGTGATAAGCACCATCTTTTCCTATCCCTTCCAGTCGCCAAACTTCATCTTCTCTGCTCGGAGGATGATGCTTCTTGTTCACTGAAATCATGTAAAGAAGAAGAATCATTCATTCAACGGTGTAAAACTGTTAACGTAATAATTTCAGTAATAAGATAGAGCTTACCTTCTCCACGATGATCCAAGACCCTGAAAGGTTGGGACACCACAACCCCAATGGTTGGAAACATGCCTAGAATGTTTTCATTGAAAATCTTTGCTCCCAAACAAAATTTCTTGGATTTCATCCAACTCGAGTTGTCGGTGATAGACACACACTTGATGGAAGCAAAGCCATTCTCCAAGTTGAGTTTGATATCACTCCCAACCAGTAAAGGCCTTTTCCCATCTCTTGGAGACAAAATGTTTCGATTGAATTCACTCAAACTACGGTTGGTTTCATCATAGTCTCCATCGAGAAGGACGAGCCCAACCGGGGCCGATGACAGAGGACCCGTGCGGATTATGGCGTTGGTTGTTGCATCATAAATTGCAACCCTAACAGCCTCACCATTTTCTGCTTTGATTAAATTGTTGGTGAAGATAGTGTTGGCTGGTTGGTTGCAGAAAACTAGCTTGAACTTCTCAACCCCTCCTTCAATAATTGCTTCTTCTCCACCCTCTCTCCTTCCTCTATATGATGAAACCAAACCATAGTTTAAAATACAACATCTATTCAAATAATATAGAATTATGTAACACTATGTTATGTGCAACTAAATTATTGTTTAAACCCGAACATAAAACATCACGGAATGTAACAGTCATGCATTAAGAAATCAGTAATCGTGGAACATTTATAGAAAAAGAGTGATACGTTTTACCACAGCTACCTTAATACAAGGAAACTATCTCCTCAAGTTACCGTGCTATTTATTCCATTTCTTTCTAGTTCGATTATTTATTTCAGGGTGCTTTGAACGAAGATCAAAACTGACACAAATTGTTATAAATCACGTTTAAGATAATTATTTATTTTTTGAATATTTAGATTTTCTTAAAAAGAATTAGTTAACAAATCAGGTGTTTTATTCAACGAACATAAAAGGACAGTAAAGAAATGATGAGAAAACAAACACAATTATCTTATACAGAAAACTAAAAACAAAATTCTTAAAAAATAGACTAAATTGTTAATTTTATAAAACAGGAACAGAATCGAATCGAATAGAAAAGTAAAAGAACGAACCTTAGTAATTGCGGAAAAGGATGAACCTGAGTTTGAAGAGCATTCTCCACTTCCTTGTGTATCTTAAAAACACCGAACCAATGTCAGAAATGAGTTTGATATTGAAGTTTGGATGTCATAAAAATAAATAAAATAAAATAAAATAAAATACCCAGTTGGTCAAGTGAGGTTGAAATCGAGACAAAAATTCAACCATGGAAAGTTCACCTTCAGCTACAGATCCAGCTCCAATACTATTAACAAAAAAAGAATCCAACAACAACATCACAACCTACAAAAACCTACAAAATTCAAAAAAAAAAAAAAAAAAAAAACCTAGAAAACCCAGAAAAACATGGAAAAACCAGAAATACCACAAATCTTAAAAAAACCAGAACAGAAAACTCATAAAAATCCGAAATGTTACACGAATACGACTCTCCACAATGGTATCATATTGTCCACTTTGAGCATAAGCTCTCATCGCTTTCCTTTAGGCTTCCCCAAAAAGCATCTACCAATGGAGAGAGTATTCTTTGATTATACCTCCCCTCGAACAAAGTGCGCCTCTGCTTAATCGAGGCTCGACTCCTTTGGAGTCTTAGTCATTTTCGACTGCCATCAAGGAGGCTTGACTCCATTTTCTTTTGGAGTCCTTTGTTCGATGTTTGAGGATTTACCAATCTACTGGCACGACTAAGTTTAGGGCATGACTCTGATACCATGTTAGACGAACACGACTCTCTACAATGGTATGATATTGTCCACTTTGAGCATAAGCTCTCATCGCTTTCCTTTAGGCTTCCCCAAAAAGCCTCTACCAATGGAGAGAGTATTCTTTGATTATAAAACCATAATCATTCCCTAAATTAGCTGATGTAGGACTTTTATCGTCCAACAAGAAAAACCAGAAAACCATAAAATCCAAAAAAAAAAAAAAAACAGAAAACCTATAAAACTCGGAAAACCTAGAAAACTCAGAAAATCGAGAAAACCTAGAAAAACCAGAAAACCTAAAAAAAAAACCAGAAAAACCTAGAAAAACCAGAAAACCTAAAAAAAAAAAAAAAAAAAAAAAAAA